CTAGGACACATCATATTAAAGGATGGAGTGTCAGTGAACCCTGAAAAGGTTGAAGCAGTGTTTGGCTGGAAAAAATTTACATCAGTTAAGGGATCCGTAGCTTTCTGGGAATGGTAGGCTATTACCGTAGGTTTGTGAAAGGATTTTCTAGTCTAGCTGCTCCCCTAACCCGACTCACAGAGAAGAATATTAAGTTTTAGTGGAATGAAGACTGTGAAAGAAGTTTTTTAGAACTAAAGAAGCGGCTGATTACTGCACCTATGTTGGCCTTACCGAGTGGATCGAAGGGATATAAAGTTTACAGTGATGCCTCCTATCTAAGCTTGGGTTGTGTTTTAATACAACATAGAAATGTCATAGCCTATAGGTCCAGACAGTTAAAGGATCATGAGAAAAATTATTCCACCCATGACTTAGAGCTTGCCGCAATCATACACGCCTTAAAGACTTAGTGCCATTATTTGTATGGAAAGACCTTTCAGATCTATACCGATTACAAGAGTTTGAAATATACATTCACTAAAAAGGATCTCAACATGCGTCAGAGAAGGTGGATAGAAGTTCTTAAGGACTATGATTGCGACATCTTCTATCACCCGCGTAAGGGTAACGTGGTAGCCGATGCACTCAGCAGAAAAAGTGCAGGTACATTAACCATTTGATGGTTTCAGAATGCAAGCAGATTGGGGCCACACAATAGGTACGATTTCAGGACTTGAAGAGAGTCACAGTTTGGGTCACCTGACCGTTCAGCCTGAGTTAATCCAGAGAATAAAAGAAGGTTAGTTCGCCGATTTCGCCCTAGTAACCCTCAAGAGAGATGCAGAACGGGGAGTTAACTCAGAATTTCGAGTCTCCGCGGATGGGTTGCTCAAATTCCAGGATAGGGTGTGTGTTCCAGGTGATAGTTAGTTAAAGAGGGACATCATGACAGAGGTCCATAGCTCAAAGTTTGTCATGCATCCTAGAAGCACTAAAATATACCAAAGTATACGACCCCTATTTTGGTTGAACGAGATGAAAAGAGATGTAGATGACTTTATTTCTAAGTGTTTGGTATATCAGCAGGTCAAGGTAGAGCATCAATGCCCAGACGGGCTACTTAAACCATTACCGATCCCAGAATGAAAGTGTGAACATATAACTATGGACTTCATGATAGGATTACCTAAGACACGCTCAAGATATGATACCATCTGGATAATTGTTAACCGGCTTACCAAGTCTTCCCACTTCTTGGTCATCAGGATGACCGATCTCTTGAACAAGTTAGCAAGAATGTATATCCGAAAAATAGTCAGATTGCATGGAGTCTCATTGACAGTAATGTCCTACAGGGACCCCAAGTTCGCTTTTCGATTTTGGAATAACTTTCAGTAAGCCATGGGAACGAAACTGTCTCTTAGTATTGTATTCAACTCTCAGACCGATGGACAATCAGAAATGACAATCCGTATACTTGAGGATATGCTCCGAGCTTGTGTCCTTGACTCCGGGGGCCATTGGGATGACCATCTACCCCTGATAGAATTCGCCTACAACAACAGTTACCAAGCGAGTATTAGCATGACTCTGTGTAACACGTTATATGGGCGCTCATACAGATTGCCGATTTGTTGGGAAGAAGTGGGCGATAGAAAACTGTTCGGCCTAGATCTGGTAGAGGAGACTACATTCAAAATAGTTAAGATCAGAAAGAACATTCAGATGGCTCAGAGCTGGCAGAAGAATTATGTGGACACCCGGATGAGAGATTTGGAATTTGAGAAAGGCGATCGAGTGTTCCTTAAGGTCACTCATTTCAAGGGAATCAGTAGGTTCAGTAGGAGGGGAAAACTGAACTCCTAATTTATTGAACCATTTGAAGTCTTAGACAGAATTGGTACCGCTGCCTACAAACTAGCACTGCCTCCAAAATTTTTCAAAGTCTATAATGTGTTTCATGTGTCCATGCTATGCAAGTACAACCCGAACCCCTCTCGTGTCTTGGCCCACAAGCCTTTTCCACTCAAGGAGGATCTATCCTACGAGGAAATACTGGTCGGCATTATGGATCGAAAGAACATATTACACCGCAACCGGGAAATTTCTTTTGTAAAGGTCATATGGCACAACCACACACCGAGGAAGGCTACATGGGAGCTAGAAACAGACTTTAGAGTCCAGTATCTCTAGCTGTTCAATTGAGAGTAAGAGACAAATTTGAGGGGCCAAATTTCTTTTAAGGGGGGAGGGGGGGGGGAAGTTGTAACACCCACCAAAATCTTTTTTTTATTATAATAAATAATTTTTTTATTTAATAAAATGTATTTTTTTATTTTAATTTAATGTAAAAATGGAGTAAAATTGATGGAGGATTAAATTGAAAATAATTTTAGAAAAAAAGGGGGAAAAATTGGGTTCTATAGGTATTTTTGAAAGAAAAATCAGAAATCGGAGGTTAAAATACAATTTTAAAAAATTTATCACGTCAGACGTTCGGTCAGCAGCCCTAACCAACTAGGACGCACCAAGTGGCAGAGGTGTTGACGTGAGAGGCCACGCGGAGGGGGAGGGGGGCACATGGGCGATCCGCGTGCGCGCGATAATGACTAAGGTCTGTCCCCGCGCACACGGACGACCTGGATGTGCTCCCTCCTAAACGCAATCGAACGACCAAATTATAAGCAATTGAACAGCCCAGAGTGAATCGCGATGGATGACCTAGATTGGATCGCGATGAACGGTTCATATTCACTCCCTATTTAATCGTGATCGGACGGTTCAGATCGAACGTGATGAACGACTCAGATCAAAAGTAGATGGGTATAAATAACCCCCATTTACACCAAACCTTAACCCTAGCCGCCAGAACCCCTCACTGGAGAAGACGACCCAGCCGCCGGGGAGTCAACCGCTGTCACCCGCCGCCGCACCGGAACCTTTTCCGACCACCAAAAAAAGTAAAAAAAATTTTTTTTGCACGAAATTCAATTTTAAGCTCACCCATGGCCAAATCAGAGTGAAAAAATTGGCCAATTGACCGAAAAACACCGACAAAGCCCGATAGTGTCGCTGCATGGAATTTCACAAATCGCCTCCAATGAGGCCTTTCTCGATTTCCGTTTAGCGTAATTTTTCTACCATTATAATAACTGTTTGCTTCTATGCAGGTTAACCGAAGTGAAACGCCCAACCGCAACGTGAGCCGGAGGAGCCGTCGCACCGGAGAGCCTCAGCGTCGGTGAGTTTTGGTTTTTGTATTTTTTCTGCCAACCGAGACCCTTTCACATGTTTGCTCGCAGGAATCGATGCAAAATCGACCAAATTCGACCGAAAACGACCGACCTGAGGTGGACCACCGCTGCGGGAGGCGATGTCGTCGCTGGAGCACGACGAAGCCACCGTGCCAGATTTTTAAAATTGGCCGAGTGGGACTTGGGACTTATTATGGATTTATTTGGAACATTTGTATATACTATAAGCGTGTTTCAATATTCAGATAAAAATTCAAGGAACCTAAAGACCGCCCATAGGCGCAGTAAACCGCTTAGCTCTTTGGCGTTAAATCGAGTAAGGACCTTCACCCTATTCCCTATCATATAATTAAAGTTTAAATAAATAATAATACGATATTTTGTACAAATTAAATAGATGTGCATAATTAATTACGGATTGCTAATGGAGTTCGAACCGAACATTGTTCTCTGTTGATTTATTTTACAGTCTATAAGTATGATAGTATCTGATTTATCTATTTTATGATTTAAATGCATGTATTGTTGCCTTACCTGACTACTGTTTGATTTAGGATTTGAGACATGATTGCATTACCTTATGCATGTTTATTTGTTTATGTGATTATGTTTGATTTGGTAATGGAGACTAAAGGAAAACAAGAAAGTGGTGTGATTAAATAAACAGATGGAACGACAGCCTTACTAGATATCCTGGGAGATGGTGGACGGATCGGGTATATAGTGAACCCTACCGTAAACGTTGTCTCATATCGGACGGGATATGGAGATTTGGTAATTTGACACTCATACTGGATGAGGTATGGGGACGACCCACTTCACCCTCATACCGGACGGGGTATTAAGGTTTAATGTTTTGGTGCTCATACCGGACGGGTATGTGGACAACTCTGTAATTGAGATTGTTAAGGAAAATAGTTTACATGTAGCAATGACACTCCTATGAACCCCCATAGATACTAATAGGCTGGTGAAATGAGAAACGATTATGATTTAGTTTATTGTTAATGGATATGAATTTATAATATGTTCTATGTTGCTGATTGTTCATGAAGTTATGATATGTATGATATTATTGTTTCTATAGGTTGTTTTCATAAATTTCATTATGGTAAGTGAACGGTAAATGATTTTATGATTGATAAATGAATTTGTTAAATTTAGTGCTCCATTAGTTGTTTTGATTTTATATCAACCTTTGCTTATGTACCGGTGATATATTGTGATATTCTTATTAGAATAGTGTAGCTCACCATTTATTTAACTATTTCAGATCAAGAGTACCTGGTTCTAGAGCCCGATTTGTAAAAAAATTGCTAATAGATTCTAAATATTTTCTATTTTTCATTGCTTTTCTTATTTCTCGTGTTTCTTTCAGAGAATTAATTCCGTAATGCTGTTTAGTATTTTTAAATTATTGTGTAAGAAATATAAATTTTAACTTATTATTTCGCTTCTGCACTTAAATTATTATATATTCTCTTTTGGATTTCTAGAGGTGTTACAATTTACATTGATGAACATAATTGGTTTTGTTTAATTAATAAATAAATTATTTCTATATTTAGATTTATTTAAATTTAAAACATTGTTTTGATTTTATACGATTTTTAGTTTAATCTCCATTCCACACCTTTTTATAGGCAGTGAAGATTTGAACAAAAGAATTAATTAATACAAACATTTATTAGCCTAAAAGAAGGGCGTCAACCGGAAAAGGCCAAAATAAAAAATCGTGGCAGGTGGCACGACACGTGGTCCTGAGATGCAGAATACGTGGCAATTAAGCAACAGTCTCGATCGATACCAAAGCTCCTCGCTCTCGCAGTGCAACACAGGCGAGAATGTACCGAACAGCGGCTAGGCGGCTTCTGGCCGGTGCAACGGCAAGTAACTTCAGCAATGTCCGTGTCGTCCAATCCCTTAATCTCCAGGCTTCAATCACTCCCTCTTTGCGATTTTCCACTTCTACAAATTCCCAATCACCCACTGGTCCAACCCTTCATGTAGACCCCATAAATCCTACTCTTTCAGATTCTTCATCCACGTCAACCTCATCAGCTGAGGGGCCTCCGCGCCAGGAGAGGCGGAGACCAAGAGTCGAATACCAGGACGAACAAGCTCGAGTGCTTAAGGCATCTCTTGGTCACGTAGTCCGTACACTCACTATTTTCCCTTTTTCTTTTCCCAATTTTAATATGTTAATTCTGAATATTTTATTTTATTTTGTTTTATTTTTTTTATGTTATGGTGCGCAATTATCAGGTTATGTTAATCAGTATGGTTTTGAAATTGTTTTTAGTTGGAGGATATATACTGTTATAACTTAAGTTGACGCATATTATAATCAGCTGAAGTTTAGATTACTGGTATGATATGCATTAGCTTGTTTATTTGGGTGCTGAAATATGAGGAAGTTACTTTACACCATAATTGCGATTGGCGTTTTTAAGTTTTCAGTGGTAAATAAATTACCATATGCAACACTACCTCTTTTTGAAGTGACATCCTCTTTTGTCCCATTTTTCATGTGGATAGCTCTTATGTTTGATTGGCTCCCTTAGGTTCATTTGGTGGACACAGAAAACAATTGAAAAAAAAAAGAAGGTTGAGGAGAAAATGACTTCGGGGAAACTATATGTTCATACATCTGAGAGCAGACAATGTCTTGGTATCTTAATTGTGATGAATTGCTAACTACATGGATATGCAGATGAGGCTAGGATGGACTGAAGAAGCCATGATCGCAGGTGCAAGGGATGTTTGTATATCTCCTTCGATAATTGGATCATTTCATAGAAAAGAAGCAGCATTAGTTGAGGTGTGCTTTCTTCTTTATCTATTAATTTCTCTCCCTTGTCAAAGCCTTGAGGCAATTACTTTTAAGGTTTTAATTCTATGTAGTCAATAGCTGGTGCTCTTTGTTGGCCATTTGGTTCTGATGGATGACTGTTCCAAGCACCAAAAGTTTTTAGGCTACTAATCCTTAATTTTTTGAGAAATCCTTCACCCTTGATTGTGAATGACACACCAGATTTGGACTGGGGAAAAAGGATTTACAGTCTCCTGCCTTGCCAAAACTGTGGCATATATGTTTGGACTAGATTCTATTTTACACAAGAGCAGGATTCTCTAAAAATCTAAGGTCCCGGGTGGCCAAGAGGGCCCACTTGGAGACTTGGGATCTTAGTAGGAAATGCTTAAAACAAGGAAAATAACTCTGAGAATGACATCCCAGTATGAAAAAAATCTAATATTCCATCAAATTCACTATTTTATTTAGAGTTTCCTCTTTCTTTGACATTGAAAATAATATCAAAAAATTTTGTTCATTCCCTTTCTAAGAGAGGCGAGACTTATTTAATCTTTTTTAATTTTTACTTTATTAATATCTCCTTTTCTTTGATTAGAAATATATTAAATTTATTTTGTATTGTACAAGGAATAAAGTCCATTTTTTTATGTGCTTTCGGAAAATTCTAGTACTCCATTCTATTATATATAAAGATGTTAGAGCAATTGAAAAAACTAGAGACCTGCAGCCCAATATGTAGGGGAATCTTGAATATGATGGATACTATCAATATTTGTTTGATGAGAAATGAAAAAAGAAATTAACAAAAAAGCAAAGATACTATTAGAACAAAATATTCAAATAGCAAGCATCGACATATAGGTTCCAAATCCAAGTGGTAGTATCAAGTCCTCTAACTAAAAAAGTCTCATCCGAGATGAAATTCTAAATGTCCCTAGCACCAAGTAAATGCAACATTCCTAGAACCATACGACTTACTATTAGATTAGATTTGGAGTTATCAGTTTGAGTTTTTATCCTTAGTTGGGTTCATGTCAAAATTTTGACACCCAAAATCCTATGGAAGGTTTCTCAAACAACAAAGAGCTGAGTCAATTATTTAGTTATTGGCACAATACTAAAAGTTAAATATCTTTTGTATCTTGATTGTACCTTTTTGTTTTTTTTTTGTTTTTAAAATTTTTCATTTTCCTCTTTTCTTTGAAGTATGAGGTGGCACCTTAACTCTTTTTGATAGGATGAGGTGAAATCTCTCTAGTAGAATGGTATAGCATTTTATTTTCTGTTGGTCCTTTTGGTGCTGGAGTTTGGTTGTGCCAAAGGAAGTGGTGACTTGTGCTCTCTTGTTAGTTTAAGATGATTTCCAAGTGAGGTTTGCTCCAGAAGTTATTAACCTGTGACGATTCTAGTACACCCTCTCATGGGTCTAGAGATGGTGGCTAGAGGAAGTTGCGACCATGGTTTTCAACTTGTAAAAATAATAGTAATTTCAGCTGCCCAACTTGTCTAGTTCTGGAGGTTGTTTTCTTTTTTTTGAAATAAAAAGTATACTATATCATTACTTCATCAGCACCAAGGGCCTGCTATCCATGTACGAAAATATTTACAAGTCAGTTAGTATATCAATAAAATTCCTAAAATCCTTGGAGGCTTGCTAGGAGAGGATTTCAACTATTGACAAATTGAGAATTAGAGAAAGTGTGATGATTAATGGTTGCTACTGTTGCCTGCAAGCTGAGGAAACGTGTAACCATCTCTTATTATGGTGTCCATTAGTTTACAGCTTATGGTGTTTGATCTACGGCCTTATGGGGATTGATTGGGTTGTTATTGGGTCTGTTGAGGGAGAAATATGGGCTTGGGATGGGTTATATGTAAAAAAAAAAAATATTGTTAACTTGATTCCTTTGACTGTTTTCTGGATCATTTGGAAGGAAAGAAATGGTGGACTTTTGATAGTGTTGAGAATAGTATCAATATATTAAAAGATAAGTGGATACACTATTTTGGTTCTATTTTTTAGAACATGACATTATTAGGGATGAGAATGTCATTGATACGCTAACACGATTTTTAAATTTTTTATACATAGGTGGTACTTCCTTTTTGGTGCCTTATTAATACATACTATACATTTTTATTTCAAAAAAAGAATCCTAAAATCCTCCAATGAAAGAATCGGATGCCCATCACCAAAAAAACCAATACATGGAGTTATCTATCTCTAACTCTAATAAAATCCTTTCTGCCCTCTTAAATGCTCTTTAATTCTCTCATTTCACAAAATCTATAAAATAGTAAGAGGGATGAGATCTAGATGTTTCCTCCCATTGCTAATACCTTTTCAGGCCAATATCTCATCTCTTACTAAGCCAGCTATTGGCAATTAATCCTCAATAATCCATAGGATATTGTCTATAGTTTGTGCATGAAGGGGTACCAAAGCATAATATGGTCACAAGATTCCCCCTCCCTTTTGCATATAAAATAACTTATTCACCAAAATTTTTTCCCTCCTCAATTTATCAATTGTCAAAATACACCCGTGTTTTGCCTTCCATACAGAGAAAGTAACTTGTAGGAGCATTTATCTTCCATATTTGCTGAAACGGGAATTTGAGCTCTAGTAGTTCATTCATAATCAACTAATTACAATATGACTTGATTGTGAAGAAACTGTTACTCTTGAAGTTCCATAATGGTTGATCAGTGTTTTCATTAAGTCTAAGCGTGGAGAGTAAGCTTAGTCTAAAAGTGGTGCAAAGGAATTTAAGGTTTTTAGACCAATATTAGCTTAGTCAGTTTTATGTATAAGCTTATTGCTAAGGTGCTGGGTAGGAGACTTGCAAAGGTGTCGGGGGTGGTTATTGGTGATTGTCAACATGCTTTTGTGGGTGGTAGACATATTCTTGATGTTATAATGGCTGCTATCGAAACGGTTGATGACCTTATGACTAACAAAAAGGATGGGTTGGTTTGTAAACTTGACATGGAAAAATCCTACAACCACGTTAATTGGGATTTTGTTGATTATATGTTTTTTAGGATGGATTTTGGTTTGAAGTGGAGAATATGGATGAAGAATTGCATCTTAACCACTTCTTTTGTCATTCTTGTGAATGGAGGCCCCTCAACATTTTTCAAAGTGATTAGAGGCTTATTACAAGGCGACCCTCTATCTCCCTTACTCTTCATTATTGTTATGGAGGCTCTAAATGGTCTTTTGAATAGACAAGGAGCTTCATTTGATCAGAGGTGTTTCGGTTGGAAAAAATGAGAACACCATCGAAGTATCTCACTTAGTCTTTACCTTGGTCTTCTGTCAACCAGATATAAAGAACCTACTACATCTAAAATGCATACTTCTGTGTTTCCATGCTGTTTCTGGACTCAAAATAAACTTATTTAAATCTGAAATGGCTAGAATCGGTGGTAGCGGGGATGTTGGGCTGTTTGCTACTGTTTTGAGGTGTAAGGTAGTAAATCTTCCTTTTAAATATCTTGGAATTCCACTTGGTGCTAAATACAAAGATCTCATGTCTTGGGAGCCGATGATTGAATTGTTTGAAAGAAAACTTTCTGGGTGGAAGAGAAAGTTTTTCTCTAAAGGTGGGAGATACATATTAATCAAGAGCACTTTATCTAATCTCCCAATATATTATTTATCAACAATTACCATCCATTCCAAGGTGGCGAAAAGATTGGAAACAATATAATATAGATTCCTTTGGAGTGATGATGATGATGGTGATAGGAAATACCATTTAGTAAAATGGGACAATATCAAAGAGCCTCCCAAACTTGGGGGGGGGGGGATGAATATGGCTTTACATGGCAAATGGTTGTGGAGATACTTGAAAGAAGAAAACAGTTTGTGGTTGCAATTGTTCATTCAAGATGGGGTAATTTCATGATGAGCAGGGCTGACTGTAGAATTACTATCCCTCATGGGAGAGGTGCAATTGTTCATTCAAGATGGGGTAATTTCATGATGAGCAGGGCTGACTGTAGAATTATTATCCCTCATGGGAGAGGACTGTGGAGGAAAATTATGATGCAATGGACTAATTTTCAGCAATGTTTTTCATGGAAACTGGGCAGAGGCAACAGGATTTACTTCTGGGATGATTGGTGCGGGATGGGTTGTCTTAGAAGTTTATTTCCCAGTATTTTCAGCATTTGCTCAACCCAAGAACTTGCGAGTGGAGAATGTTGTCCAGTTTGTGAAGGATAGAGCTGTGTGGGACATCAAAGTTTCCCGGAATTTGAATGATTGGGAGGTGAGCGAGTTTGTAGAATTATGCAGATTCTTGTTAAGCAGAAGGTATCTATGTGTGAGGACCAAATCTGGTGGAAACTTGGGAATAACGAAGTTTTCTCGGTCCGATCATACTACAAATTTCTTCGTAGAAGGAATGGTGAGGGTAGGGTTATCTTCCTGGCAAAACAAATCTGGAAAATGAAAGCTCCCCCCATGTTTTGTTTTCTTTTCTTGGGAAGCTTGTTGGGAACGAATCTTGACAATTGATAAACTGAAAATAAGAGGAAGGATCCTGGTTAATGGCTGCATCTGTTGTCTTCAAGCTGAGGAAAATTGCAACCATCTTTTGTTGTGGTGTCCAACTGTGCACAGTTTGTGGTATATGATTTATGGTTTGTTGGGTATTGAGTGGGTAATTGTTGGGTTTGTTAGAGAGGAAATTTGGTTGTGGGATGGGCTATCTGTAAAAAAATAAATCTGAAAACTTGATTCCCTTGACAGTTTTTTGGGGTAATATGGAAGGAGAGGAATGGTTGGGTTTTTCGA